TGATTGCTGACAGATCTGGAGTTGTATTCTTGACCAACCTATATAGAAATCCCTGTTGAAAGTAATGGTGGATACATTCATTTAAGGTACTATGTTTCTATCCTATTCCTAAGTGATTTTAATAGCTAAAAATCAAGTTACCCACAATGCTGTGCACCCTTATTTATTCAATTAGTGCCTCATGGCAGCCCCTCTAACTTGATTATGTGTCTCTGAGACTGCTGCTTTTGTTGGGTGAGGCCACAGCTCTTTGATACTAGTGAACTGTAGGAAGCTGTTTTGCAGGCTGGTAGAAAAGACTGTCAAAGAAAGGCTCTGTTAAGAGACAAAAATAGGCACAAATAACTTGCCACATACGGTGCTGAGATCCATCTCCCCCCCTCCTGTTCCATTTACTGATTATTTTTAGGATCAAAAGGCTAAGTGCCATTATCAGGTGTTTGTGTGGCAACCGTAGACATGTGGAATATCTGGGGTACATCTGTACTTTGACAGAAAGGTGTGATTGCAATCTGTGTCCTTATGCCCATGCTAGCTTTATCCTAGCTAGCTAAGGCAACAGTCCCCATGAAAACACAATGATGTGGCCTTTTGCATTGGTTGTACAAATTTTCTGGGAACCTCAAGTACTTACTTGGGCAGTGAGCTCATGCCACAGCCCATGTCATTGCACTTTCACTGAGACTGTCCCTGAGCTGAATAAATCTAGCTTGGGCACATCTTTAGATACTGCAGTTATATCTACAATTGCATTGCAGAAAGTATCCATTAGGAACAGACATACAGGTCAAATTTAGAATATGCATGGAAATCATCACCCCTCCTGGTAAGTGACTGTATAAAGAGTCAAAGTAATCACTAAGTGTACAATATATTAAAGATTAATGGTCAGTTAGACGTTGGTACCTACTTCAGACTTGTTCTGTAGAGTAGCAGTACAGTTAAAAGAGCTCCAAATGCAGCTATGGTGTTTATTTCCTTCTGTGTTTAATACAAGGAATTAAAGAATGACACATGCAAAATTCATTGTGGCCACAGAAATTTGCTAATTGAGGGACAAAGTTGCTGTAGACAGATAGAAAAGAACTTTCTTTTCACATGCTTCTTTTGTATCTCAGGATCAACAAAACACATAGGTTGACTAATACTGAAGCAATTTATTGTCACTCATTCCTTTTGTGTATACCTGATATCATACCAGGTTCTTGGATTTCAGAGGCTTGTTAGTATAACTGAAGAACAGCTTGAACAGGATTGCCTGAAGAAAACTATAATGTAAACAGCAAGTAGTACTGTATTCATACAGAAGTTCATCTCTGTTTTTAGAATACAACAAAGCCAGCATCTTGCTTGTTTTCTCCTTGGTCCAAGTCAATCATGCAAATATTACCCAGTGTATAAGGACAGTTAAAAATTAAAAAAAGGAAAAGAAAAGCAATACCTACAGTTCTGCTTCACCTGTGATGTGCAGCCCTGGAAATAATAGGAAATACATTGTTATTCAGCAAGGGGATTAAGAGTCTACGAAGTGCATATTCTGGGTCTGGACATAAAAGATATAGTGAGTTACCTGCAGTGGAAGGTTCATCTTTGTAGCTTCTCTCTCCTTGGAAGAGTCTGGCTATGGATCATGCTGAAGAACCGTGAAAATCTATGAATCAACTACAAAATAATATGGGTACAGCATTGATTATAGGGTTAAAAGGGTGTTGATTGATCTCTTCCTGCTCCTCCATTTAATTTTTGTTTCATTGGGATAGTGCAGCTGAGTGGTTTGACACTACTGCATTTTTGCTGATCTCTGCTTTCAAAACCACATAAAAGAATATTTAATGAGAGAATCTTAAATAGGACAATTATAGAAAAGATAAGATTGCTCACATCTACACTCCACCTGTAAGCATATTTCTACACTGTGTTTTTTTTCTTCAGTCTAGTCTATGTAGCATGAGAATAATTTGGGAGTGATATATTGTTAATATTTTTAGAGCCAGAGAGTTTGCTAAACTGAGCAATAAATTCAAACTCATCTTTGTACACAGGAAAATGTGCCACTGGGATTAAAATCAAATCTATAATTGTACATTGCACTTTACAAAGAGTTTCTCAAAATGAAGATAGCAAAGTCAGGTTTTTTTTTACTGCAGTTTTCTAGCCTCATATCTTAAGAAGTTGGGATTTTTAAAATAAGTGGAGACAAGGAATTTCTAGCACCAACAAAGCAACTATATATTGACCTTAAAACTTCAAGAGGGAACGTGGTATTGGAGAAATGTGGGTTGTTTTATTTTAGTTCACTAAACAACCCAGTAGAGTTGAACAGTCTAGAAGTTACCAGAGAGAGCTTGTGCTAAAGCACAGTATAAATTCTGAGATGGAGGATTGGGTTTCAGGAAATAACTAAATAACTCACTGCTAAAATAATCCCCTTGGCCCGTCATTCCGGCTGTGTCACCTCCACTACCTCTTTGAATCCCTTTCACAGTTCCCCCAGGGCCGGATTAATGCACAGGCAAACTAGACACATGCCTTGGGCCCGAAGTGAAGAAGGGGCCCAGTTGTGCTTATTTTACATATTATAATTACTGAATGAAAAAAAGGAATATAAATACACAGTATTAAATACCAGACCACAAGTTTGTTTGCCTGGGGCCCACTAAAGCGTTAATCTGGCCCTGGGTTCGCCTTCTCTATTTGTTTTCTCACACCAGCCCTTTCTGCATTTAGTAGAATGTCCTTTGGAGTGAATCAAGAAGGCTGCCACTTTCCCCTTCTTCAGGATTTAATTTGAATATTTAGTGTTCTTAATATTTTCAGTTCTGCTATAATGCTGCAGAGAAATGAGTCAAACATCCTTATTAACTTACTGTCATATTAAAACATTTGGGGCTTTGTTACACTATACCCTAGGCATTTAACCTGCTAGAAAGGATGGTATTAATTAGGTACTGATAGTAGTTTAACTAGAGGTAGGCGAGCGAGGCACCAGCCCATGACTCTGAGTTAGAGGGGGTGCCAAAATGGCAACCTCCATGGAGCCCAAATTACCAACTCTGCTCTCTGGTGCTGGGCACCCCTATCCTGCATGACAAAATTCCTAGTTGTGCCTCTGGGCACTGGACTGGATGAAAAGATCAGTGTGTAGTTCTTGGCTCTACCAAAAAATACATTTGTGACCTTGGGCGAGTCATGTAACCTCTCTATGCCTCTACTCCCCATTTCAGAATGAGGAAACCAGAACTTCTTTCCCCTGCTGACCCCTCTGTCTGCTTTGTTTATGTAGAGCATGGGCTGTCTTTTAGCTCTGTCTCTGTTCAGTGTCTAGTAGGATTGGCCCTGGTCTCAGATGGAGCCTAGAGTTCCACAATGCTAGAAATGAGAGCCAAGGCATTTTCTGAGCCTCTGATTGTTTTGTTACTTCCTGCAGAAGCCAGTACAAACAAATGCAGAAGAGTATGTGGGTGATTATTGCTCTCCAGGAGCACTGGGCATAAAGTCACTCTTTAGCTGAAAGGGAGTTTTATTGATAGGCTGCAGAGCAATCTTTGAGACGGGGATCCCAAGAGCCTTTTGTCAAACTTATTTTATCAAATTGAAAGGAAGGCTAGAATGATTTCCTTTCCTTGGATACTGCTAAATCATCTTTGCCAGAGATGGCTTACCCCTAGGGCTCATAAAAATACTTCTCAAGATTGTAAATTTCTGTCCTTTCAGTGATCCTGATTGCATAAAACCAGTGGCGCTGCTCTTATAGCTTGGAGAAAACATACGGGCAGGAGAGTGAACGCCAGTGCTGCTGTAGGGTTATACTGGAGATTTTCCACTGGCCAGGGATATTAAACTTCCCCAGTATAAAGAGAGAGGATGCAACCCTGTGCCAGGTCTGCTGCCAAACTTCACCAGCCATGTGCCTGTTGTGTAAGGAGACAATATGTTTCCCATGGTTCAGAGGACTGAACTGGAGTGCATTTTATAAAATACAGTCACAAAAATGTAGTGACAGGAGGATGCACAGGGACAGCATTTTAAATTCTATTTCACCTGAAGTGATGGAAATAAGATACATTGAATTGAATTGCGTAGTCCAAAAATAGTCAGCAATTAACAGAGTTGGGGGCAAAAATACAGTTTGTGCCAATATCCTAAGAACTCCAAGGCTGGGAGGAGTTGGTTTCATGCTTTTGTTTCACAATTGTCTCTAGAAATCAGCTAAAACAAACCCATGGCGAGGCAGAGGAGTAAAGAATATATAAGCATATAAAAATCTAGCATTACTCATAATTAGGAAATTTGAAAAGCCAAGCAGTAAAGAATAGAAAATGTGCAGAAAATACATGGAAGTAAATAATGCCTAGTAAAACAAAGGTAGGATTTGGGGATCATGATAAATACGACATCAACATGATAACTTTGTGACAAGTAAGATAATACCTTTTGCTCAACAGCTCAAGAATTAGAAGGTATGGAAAGGCGATTTCAATTCCTCAAATGAAGATGAACTCAGCTATCAGGGCTGTACATACAAATTGTGTCACCACTTATTGTAAGTTGGTCCAATAAAAGGTACCACCCAAAAATCATTGCCACTACAACACTATTTGTCACAGAATAGGAAAAAGGTGTAAGGAAAAAACAAGAGCAAACTCTGGAAATCACAGGCACCCTGAGCTCTTCTGAATTATGCTGTGTTAGTCAATAAAGATAAAGAATCTTATCAAACAGCACATGAAAGTCACCAGGGAAGACTGTTCTTGTTTGTTCTTGTCTGGGAAAATGCCATGTGGCATTTTTCAGAATGGATATTTCAGAGGTTGTAACTGTGAAGCCACTCTCATTAACTTTCTGAGAAGAGGTCAGAGAGTCTACCACATTTAATATGGCCAGGACAGATAAGAAATGCGTCAGAAAAATGTGCGGAGCATTTAAGCTTGTGATGTAGACATGTCTTTCCTTTATTCTGCAACTGTTCTGTAAGGTGATTCTTTATTCTGAACCCACAGGTGCCTATCTTCCTAGTCTGAGGCAATTGAAATTGAACAACAGCTTGCTTGCGTCTGTGAGGTAAGAAAGAAGCTATAATTGGAATAAACATAATGAACAGCACCTGCTCATCTCTTTTCTTGATGGTAAAATGTTATTAATGTTGCATTCATATTTTCTCTGAAAAACAGCCTAGGAAAGTATATACAGGTATAATGTCCTATAACCAACACCTTTAGGCCAGAACCTCATCTGTTATGAATCAGCCTAACTCCAATGGTGCCCGTGGCATTACACCAATATATACCAGCTTTGAACCTGCACTGAAATCCTGACTTTGTTGAAATCAATGCAGGCCATTGACTTCACTGGGGGCCAGGATTTTACCTTCTGTCTGTCATTAGGTGGCTTCTAAAGATGTGCATTTTCAGGATGAACTGTTGTGTACCGCTTTCTCTTTGTGAGTTCTGCCTCTTCAGTTTAGGAGTGCTTCTACTGTTGGATGTAATAGTTTGTAGCCCTTGGGCCAGACCTTCAGCCAGTATAACTCAGCTTAACTCTACTGAAGTGAGTGAGTTACCTCTATGTATTTATGCCAACTGAAGGTCAATCAGATTATTGATCTCTGGCTTCCTGAGCTCCATTACTGTATTACTGCTACATTCTCAGAGATGGCTGAAGTCAAGAGGTGAAAGGATATCTACTTGGTCAGGACACATCTCCTTTCTTTGTGCTGTTGGTGTTCATATTAACCTTGGTAATTAATTAATTAATGTCAAGTTATCATCAGCAAATTGGTTATGTAAAATGCAGTCCTGTTTAATAGATCTGCTCTGTCTTTATTGATAGCTGTATTGTTAACAGGGTCCAAACATGTCTCCTGACATTCGTGACAAACATCAATATTCTAAAAATTCTCAGTAGAACAAAGACACTTCAAAAGGGACTTCACTGGGTTCTTTAATGTTCTATGTATCATTTCATTACTTAACAAACTTCTAGCTTATATTATCAATGATGCTGGAGACCAAATGACCATAGCTTTGCTTTCAGATCCCTGACTGAACTTGTGGGAGTGGCCACTGGAAAAGAAATTCTTAATAGCAAGTTAAGTAGATTTGATCTGACGGTCATTAAGAGAATGGAAAATATGAGACCCCATGGTGTTACTTGTTTTGAATCAGTTTTCAACTACAAACTGCTCTTTCAATCATAAATTTCCTTTTAAAGAAGGACTCCAATTCAGTAGAATATCCTTAGACAACACTAGTTTAAAAATGTCACTTTCCATTTTCCTATCACATTTTTTTCTTAGTTTTCCCTGTTTTCCTTAACTAATGATTGCATATATTATATATATATATATGATTATATTATATATACATATATATAAAATCATATGTATCATATATATATGAGAGAGAGAGTTAAATCAGGGGCATTCAACCTTTTTTAATAAGTGTACTCCCAGGGAGGTGTTGAGTGACTGGATGCAGAGTGGGGGCGTGGTGGAGTGCGGCCCTGCTCTCGCCCTGCTCCTATGAGATAGCGGCGCAGGGTAGCGGTGCTCCGTCCCTGCTTGCCCCTGCATCCCCTCTGGGACCTTTCAAAGTACTGGTTGACAACCCCTGGTTTAAATGAAGGCATTTTTACCTGCCAGCCCTTCTCTACCTACTTCCATTGAAATGTTGAATTTACATTGCCACAATCATTTTAATACCAGAAAAAGCATAAGATCACAATATTGCTGCAGAATGGCACAGGAGTAAAAAAATGTGTGGCAAGGGGGAATTACATTGTTCAAACCAGTTTTGATGCTATCTACAGCAAATTGTTTTTTTAAATGTTTGAATTAAATGTGATCTTTTCCTCATTTGCTGTAGCCTGAAAATCATTTTCTTTAAAGGTTAAACTGACTATAGTGAATCCAAACATAGGGCATTTGATTCTTCATCTTCTAAGATGCTGTATCAGCATCAGACTGGCCATATTTACTTAATAGTTACTCTAAGAAATAAATGTAATGGGGAGCCTGTATTTTTCTTCTTGGTTAAAGCTGAAAGTAATTTTTCATTATAAATTGGATTATTACCTTGCTAATAATTTTGCCAGAAAACAACCAAAAAACAAAGACCTGCTTGGTCTTCATATTCTCTGTGCAAGCTATGAGGAGGATCCGTAATAGAACATTCTGAGTTCTCTGTGCAATTTCTTTCATAATTTCAGGGTCCCATACCAGGAGCGCAGGTGCACCCAGGGCACCATGGCCATCAGCAGCAGCAGGGCATAGTGGGTCAGGCACTGTACAACAGTTCCTGCACAAACTGTTCCTCATGCACCACCTGGAGCACACTTGAGGTGCAGTGATGGGCAGGCCAGGGCTGGCCGTAGGGTGCCTCCCGAGAAGATCCCTGTGAAGAGGGTGGGAGCATGGGCAGCTCCTCATCCAGGTCGGCTGGGAGCCCTGTGTCCCCCAAGCCCAGGTGCCATGGGCTGGACAGCAGTGCAGCAGAACAGATGGCCTGCAGGAGGATGTGGGAGAGTGGGGTTTGGAGCTGTGGCAGCAGGTGCTGCCAGGAGCCTGGCCTGTTCCAGCCTAGAAACAGGATGGGGGAGGCAGGCTGCCAGCACCCAGCAGTCTGCCTGCCCCGGGAGAGCAAGCAGGGATGGGGGGCTTAGCCGGTGGCTGCCTGGGCCTGGGCCTGCCAGACTGACTTACCATGGTCCCTGGCCACCTGTGCACACCCAACCTCTGATCTGAGGCCAGACAGTGTATGGCCTCTGGTACAGAGCATCTTGTCTCTGAAATGTTGTAAACTCTCACAAACAGCTTCTGTTTCATGGCTCTACAGTGCCTGCAGCTGCAGGTCCAAGAGAGGCAGCCTTTGGCAGCTGGGATGCAGCTTCAGGGTCACTGCTGCCCACAGTTGTGGCCTTGCAGATGTGCCAGCTCCACCAAAGGAGGATCCTGGACAGGACCCTCCTCCTGGACCTCCTGGTCACAGCATTGGAGGACCAGCTGGGAGATGCTTGGGCTGGGTGGGCGGGCAGAGGATGTGGCCCACCAGTACAGGTTGTGGGCAGAATACATGGCCCACCAAGACAGGTGGCAGGTGGAGGACATTGCCCATCAGGACAGGTGGCAGGCAGAGGACATCACCCATAAGGAGGCACAGGACTGGGAAGACTGGGAGTTTTGGGTGCAGCTCCGGGCCCTGGAGTGCGAGCAGGTAGAGGCCCTGTTGGAACAGCATGCCATCCTGGCTTGGGTAGTGCAGGCCATGAACGATGACTGCTGGTTGCTGGACATCGTTCTGACCCTGGTGGTCACCTTTGCCAGGGTCAGGCTCCTGACCCTAGTCCCGCCTGCCCTCTGGCAGCCGCCCACTGCCCAGCAGCTGGCCTTCCCCTGGGCTTGGGAGGAGGTCCTGTGCTGCCTCCAGCAGACAGGAGCCCCTGGCCCAGCCCCTGGCCCAGGTCTGGTGTCATTCAGACTCCCTGCCTGGGCCCAGCCCTGCCGCTCACCCCGGCTGCACATGGGCATGGAGTCAGAGCTGCCTGAAGCAGGACCAGGACTACATGCTGGCTATGCTGGGCCTGGACTCCACCTTCCTGAGGGGGACTGCCCGTGCCAGGGGGAGCACTGGGTGCCATTGCCCCTGGGTTAGCCCCACACCCACTGCACTTGCTGTGGTTTGCATACCTGCAGGGAAGCAGCTAGAGGCCAAGATGCTGGCTGCCGGTTCCAGGTCTTTCTCTGCCCTGTAGTCATCCCCACCCCATGGCTCCCCACCCCAGGATGGCACACAAAGGACACTGAACAAACTTTTCATGGGGAAGAAGATGTTTTATTGTTGGTGGGTGGGGTGGGTAGTGAAAAGGCTCTGTTTATTGAGGTGGGGAAGAAGGACTCTATTTGTTGGGAAGGGAGGGAGGAGGGGAGGTCTTGTTTGATGTGAGGGAAATAAAAACTTGTTCTTGTGAGACATGTCTGCAGTGAGTGTGGTGCTGGGGATGGGCAGATGGATTGTGGGGGGGTCCATGTGTAGCAGTGCAGGTGGGCTAGAGCAAGGAGTGTTGGAAGACATGATCTTCCAGCACCTCCCTGCACCTGGTGCCCTGCTGGTGGGTGTAGAGCCCCCCCTGGGGCCTTGGCGGCAGTTGAAATGGGCCTGGCAGGGGTCCAGGTGTCTGGTATAGGGCTGCATGAATTAGGATATGAATGGGTAGGTGGGGTCCACGGGATGACGATGGCACCCAGCTGCAGCTCCAGCAGCCCTAGTGCAAAGTGCCCATTCTCCACCAGGGCTGGCAGGCTGGAATTCTGGAAGATATAGGTGGTGTAGGTACTGTCTGCCCAGCTGGCACTCATGTGCAGTGAAAGTCCCTCCAGCTGTAGTAGGGGTGGTCTCCATGGTGCGGGCAGGTGATGGGGATGTGGGTCCTGTTCAGGGTCCTGATGCACTGGAGGAATCCCAGGGCATGGAACCCCACCACCACCACCAGGGGGTTGTGCACATGCAGCATGATGTCCCCAGGCATGTCCTGGAGGGCACCACACACCTCCAAGATGGCTTCCCCAGTGGTGGCTTTGTCCATAGCAAAAAGGTGGCACCTCCAATGATGTACTGCAGGCTGGTGGGCATGGCCAGCTTGAGCAGGGCAGGGGCTAGGCAGGTGTTTGCAGGTAGGGACGGCTGCATGCCGGTGTGCTGCCATTCCATATTCCACATGACCTGGGACAACTTCCAGGACCTCCAGGTGTGGCTGGAGCTGCTCCAGATCTTGGAAGGTGGCCTGGGTCATGCAGAACACCTCCAGCCACTGTTTATTGCCCCAGGTGGTCTGGGTGACGTGCAGCCACCAGTCCTGGCTGGCCCAGTAGGGTCTGGCCAGGTGGATAGGGTGGAGGCAGCTGGTGTGTGGCAGTGGCCCTGGGATGACACACGGTGGACAGGCAGACAGGTAGTCACTGCACGTGGGGGAGTCAGGAGGGGCAAGATGGCTGTGGCCCAGGCAGTGGTTGGCATGGTGGGCCAGCAGGGCCAGTGCAGTGGCCAGCAGGAGTGTGGGGCTCTGGT